GGTGGGAGACAGATGGTACGGTCATTATTAGCCCGGGCTGCGATCAATTCGGTATGGACATCGTTGACTTGCTCATCATATGGTGTGTCTTGGGCAAATTTCTAACTTGGCTAAGCCCATCCCTCTCCCCCTTTTAGTCGCCTCTTACGACATGCAGGAGGAGCAGTGGGCCTATTCTGTCCCTGGACCCACAGGGGAACTTTTGCACACTCAATCCTTCCTAAATAGGCTATAACCATTGATTTTTAACATCCCAGTCATGGTTAATCATCCCATTGGTTTTAGTTATATCAACTAGATCACATTTATGCTCATAAGAGGAATTCAGATTGCTCATTTGTTTGTTATCCAGACTCCTAGTATTGGTGTATAGGCAATTCAAAAAATTTCTTCTCTTCATGTGCTTTGGTTCCTTGATTAATTTTGTTCTCAACTTCTCAATATTGTGCTAAGTGCTCTTATCGTCCCTCTTTTTACCCTTCCCTTTTGCTATTTGCTTAATGCCCTCCTGAATACTCTAGCTAGCTTTTCCCAAAAGAGACTGGTCCCCCTTCTACTGAGATGGAAGCCACCAAGCTATACAGCCTCTTCTCCCCATAAAGAGTGGACCAGTGTTCCACAAACCCAAAACCCTCCACCCCTTACCTAGCCAGTAGTTCTGTTATGCATATCAATATTTCTGACCCTACTGGGCCCTGTGTGGAATACACCACACCAGAAGACCAGTGTCATCTTCCTAATCCTGGGCTAGATTCCTTTTTCCACCTCACAAGGGGGCTTTACCACCAGCTCAATATGTTCCTCTGCCAGCTCTAAACAGATTATTATTCAAGTGCTTGTTCATGTCCATTGCAATGTAGGTGTGTGCTCGCCCCAAGTGCCGGAAAGTTTAAGTTCTTTTAGGGAGCAGAAAGCCATCCACTAGAGCTACGTACCTGGAAAAGTGGGAAAGATTCTTGATCTGGTCGGCGCAGAAAGGTGTCTCATCCACGTGGTCATCAGTGCCTTTCATTCTGGACTACTTGCTACACCTGAATCCGCAAGGGCTATCGGTGTCATTGATTAGAGTCCACCTGTATGCAGTTTTGGTGTGTCACCTGTGGGTGAAGGGCCTATCTGTCTTTGAAAACCAATCTGCAGTCTGTTTCTCAAGGGTTTAACAGAATATGCCTCCAGGTATGTCAATCACTCCCACCCTGGGATCTCAACCTGGTATTGTCGAGACTCATGGGTTCCCCATTCGAGCCATTGGCAACGTGTCTTCTGCTCTACTTGTCCTGGAACGTGGCCTTCCTGGTGGACACAACTTCAGTTAGAAGGGTCTCCTAGATTAGGGTCCTTACTTCGGAACCTCCGTACATGGGATTCTTCAAGGACAAGGTCCAGCTGCATCCTCAACCAGCCTTCCTCCTGAAGATGGTTTCACAGTTCCATAGTAACCAGGACATATTCCTTCTGGTCTTCTATCCAAAACTGCATGCCAAAAACAGGAGTAGGAACTTTACTCACTAGATGTCAGATACACACTGGCCTTCTACACAGGACTAAATCGTTTTGGAAAACTACTCAACTTTTTGTGGATGTTGCAGACTGGATGAAGGGTCTCCCAGTCTCAGCCCAGAGAATCTCATCGTGGATCACTTCCTGTATCCACATATGCTACAGCCTGGCGAAGGTCCCTGCTCCAGTTCTGACCACATGTACTACAAGGGCACAAGCATCTTCAGTTGCATTTGTGGTATATGTCCCTATCAAGGACAACTGTAGATCGGCAACATGGTCTTCGGTCCACACTTTTGCGTCTCGCTATGCCATCACTCAGGAGGTTAGAGATGAGGCTGAGTTTGGCAGAGCAGTGCTACAGTCTGCTTGTCAATGAACTCCAGACCTTTCCCCTACATCTGCTTGGAAGTCACCTACATTAGAATTAACACGAGCAAGCACTCAAAGAAAAAGGGTCACTAACCTTCCATAACTGTTCTTCGAGATGTGTTGCTCATGTCTATTCCAAACCCCCTCTTCCTGCCCCTCTGTTAAAGTTAGCTGGCAAGAAGGAACTGAGGAAGTGGCGGATCGGTAGGGCCCTTTATACCATCATCATGAAAGCGTGACTTCAGGGGGCACCAGAGCTGACCTGACTGGTACCACTGAGGGAATACTTTCTGGCAGCAGTGCTCGGAGCAAGCACATACCTACATTGGAATGGACATGAGCAACACATCTCAAAGAACAACAGTTAAGGAAGGTTAGTAACCATTTTATCATGGCTCTGATGAAGAATTTTCAAGCAGAGAACCATCCTGCCCCAGCTCACATATCGTTTTCATCCTCAGATAAAGCTGTAGTTTCCAAGACATCTAAAAGACATGACTACAAGATATTCCAGGACATGTTACATATAATGACTGCCACATTGGAGATTACCGTGGACATAGTCCAGGGGAAAAAAATCACTCAAGCTCTGGAATATCATCCACACTTTGATTCCTGGAAGTCTTGCAATACTCATCATAAGGGACTTTTAGAGCTGTCTAAATTGCTCTGCCAGATGCCTGCCTCCCTGTCATCAACTTTGAAGAGAGGAGACCGGCACTTGAGGTTCTTTCCTAGGTTTTCGAGCAATTTTATACATACTCCATAGTGGGATCATTAATTGTCACTGTGGCTAATGAGAGGTCGAGACGAAGCCAATGAAAGGTGACACCAGAAGAGAAAGAACTCCCAAAAATTAAATTTGGACAAAAAATTATTTCACAACAGTCCTCTAAATGAGAATTGCCAACTACCAATACCTGTTGGCAAATTATGATTATGTGAATTGGGTTCTATGGTTAAATTCTCATTTCAGGACAACAGAGAAGAACTTACTCTCTTATTGCTGAAGATCAGCTTCTAGCATGCACATCCCTCCAAGCAGCCCTTGATGCTGTGGATACAGCCTCTAGATCTCTGGTGACTTCAGTTGCTGTGACGAGATCCTTGTGGCTCCACTCTTCAGGAATCCCTAAAGAAGTTCAAGTAAGAATTGAACATCTCCCACCTGAAGAATATGAACTCTTATACTTTCTGAAGGACTCGCATGCCACAACGTGATCTTTAGGGATCTATACTCCTGTACACAGTGAAAGAACTTTGCCTCTGCTGTGATGGAGGCTTGATCTTTTTCATGTTGTTTTTTTCCAGACCCTCCACCCAACCCATCCTCATCATTTTTCAAGGACTCCTCTAACAACGATGTGTTACATCAGGATGTGCAGTCACTTCTAAACTTTGGAGCAGTGGAAGAAGTTCCTTAAGAATACCAGGAAAGTGGTTTTACTCATTTTTTTTATTCCCAAAAAGAATAGGTGTCAAAAGTTCTGCTCCAGAGGGGACAAAGTTAGGGATCCAATAAATTTATAGTCACATGATCCCTAGACCTGATGTAAGATGACTCTCCAATTCCATTAATCCTGAGAGTTCTCAGGAAGCTCAGGCAGGACTCTGTTAGAATAATCCTGGAAGCTCCAGCATGACTGAGACAGTTCTGGTACTCAGAGCTAAAGAATCTATCCTCCAATACAGTTACTTCCCCAGCCAGAGGCAAAATCACAGAAGCATGATCAAATGGTTCATCTGAATCCATGGTCCCTGCATCCTGAAGTATAGATGCTGGCTGGCTGACAGTGGAAAGATCCGGGATCCGGCCCATAGTGTTTCCACTTTGGATGTACAACTTTGGATGTAATCCTCTAGAGACGCTGCAGAAAGAGTATGGCAAAATCCTGGAGCTTCACAGACAAGTCTGAGCTGCCTGCAGGCTTCCCAAAAATCTCATAACTGGGAAAAGGCCATTTCCAGAAAGGAAGTAATCCAGGAAAGGCATTTCTGTTCTAAATCTACTTGCCTTCTTCTAATGAAGATCCCTTACACAAAAACTGAGGATACGTTTACATTGCAATAAAAGACCTGTAGCAGCTGGTCCAGGTCGGCCGACTTGGGCTCATGAGGCTTAGGCTGTGGGTTATAAAATTGTAGTGTAGACATTTGAGTTTGGGCTGGAGCTCAGGATCTCAGACCCCATGAAGTCAGAGGGTCTCAGAACCCAGGCTCCAGCCCAAGTCTGAGTGTCTCCAGGGCAATTTTATAGCCCTGCAACCCAAGCTTCATGAACCCGAGTCAGCTGACCTGGGCTCTGAGAGTCGGTGCTGGGTTTTGTTTTTTTTTTTAATCACCGTGTAGACATACCCTCAAAATACTGAACTTAACAGAAAACCTTGTTACTTTAACCAAATACACATTGTATTCAAATGTAGCATTTAATTTATTAATTTGGGGGAGGAGGGAAAGTGTTCTAAATGCCTTCATATGGAATATGAAATTTGTAAAAACAGGTGATAAAAGATTTGGTTATAAACAATGTTGAGCATGTTTGGGGGAGGGGAGTCAGCCTCTATCTCCACCTTTTGTTACAATCATTGGACGTTCTTGATATTGAATACCATTAACATATGTGTCAGCATCATGACAGCATAGCATTCATCCAGGATTTGCTACTGCACCATGTTGCTTTTGTTATATGCCTTCTTGGCTAATGTTTCATACTCTTTTTTTTTTTTTTTTTTTTTAATATGGATGGTATTCTATTGTCCCATCTGAAATTTTGAAGATTATCACTAGTGTAACTTCCTTGAATAAATACTTTCCTTTTCAAAAATCTTAGCATAACAGTTATGCAGATTGTATCAGAGATAGTCTTTTATTTAAAAATGATTGATTTAATATTTTAAGCAGATTCACTTTTTAAAACCTGATGAGCGGTGTCACAAAAATTATGCTTGTTAGCTACTGGATTATATGTTGTTTGTAAATTGGCAGTTTTAATCATTTAATTTATGAATTAGCAGTAGTAAGGAAAGAAATCCAGCAGGGGCATGAACTATGATTTCGCCGCCTTTGATATGGCTCATGTATCTATCTTTTATTTATTTGTCTGTCTGTTTAATTTTTCCCCAACCTAGACTTTTCAACACAGGAATTAAAAATGTTCATTTGTTCCATACCATCTCTCTGGCTTCAAATGTTTGTTGCAGAGGCAGTCTTTAAAAATTTATGTTTACGGAGGAACATTACTATTTCTGCCAAACCTCTTTCTCTTCACAAAATAGTAAGTAGCATTTGTACTGTTTGATACTGAACTACATTTTGGAATGTAATATGACTAACCGACTAATGAGATGGAATTCTGGAAACCAATAATTTTTACTTATTTGCCTTCTCCTTGTCCTACACCACAGTTAGAGGAGATATGCATTGCCTGTGTCGCATTCCATCCTTGGAGAATCCAAAGCGTTTAAATGAAAAATAATATTAGGTTTGGGTTTATCCTGGCACAGATATGAGATCATAGTTCAAATATGGATATGTTTTTTTTCTTACGAAGCAATTCTTAGTGACAACTGTCTTGTTAAGGTGGCAGCCTACACCAACAGATAAAGTGAAAAACATTAAAAATAATCCTTTTTCATTGCAATATTAAATTCCAGGTGTAGGAATATGCCCAATTTTGTGTGATAAAGTAAATACTGAAAAAAGGCAATTCTATCCACTATATTATTCCCAAACACAACTTTGTTTCATGATTCAGAACAGCAGTGTTCCATCTAAATTTTCTTCTGTTAATGTTCCATCTTCTGCTTCTGTCAAAGTTGCTACCTTCACATCACAATTTCTGGTGCTTGGGTATGGAATGTTAAGACTGTCTTCAAATCCCCAACTAAATCATCCCAGCCAAAAGATTAAAACCTCTAAGGAAGGAGATTCCACCACCTCCCTAGGTAACCCATTCCAGTGCTTCACCACCCTCCTAGTGAAAACGTTTTTCTTAATATCCAACCTAAACCTCCCCCACTGCAACTTGAGACTATTACTCCTTGTTCTATTATCTGGTACCATTGAGAACAGTCTAGATCCATCCTCTTTGGAACCCCCTTTCAGGTAATTGAAAGCAGCTATCAAATCCCCCCCCCCCCTCATTCTTCTCTTCTGCAGACTAAATAATCCCAGTTCCCTCAGTCTCTCCTCATAAGTCATGTGCTCCAGCCCCCATTTTTGTTGCCCTCCGCTGGACGTTTTCCAATTTTTCCATATCCTTCTTGTAGCGTGGGGCCCAAAACTGGACACAGTACTCCAGATGAGGCCTCACCAATGCCAAATAGAGGGGAACGATCACGTTCCTCAATCTGCTGGCAATGCTCCTACTTATACAGCCCCAAATGCCGTTAGCCTTCTTGGCAACAAGGGCACACTGACTCATATTCAGTTTCTCGTCCACTGGAACCCCTAGGTCCTTTTCTGCAGAACTGCTGCCTAGCCACTCAGTCCCTAGTGTGTAGCAGTGCATGGGATTCTTCCGTCCTAAGTGCAGGTCTCTGCACTTGTCCTTGCCGAACCTCATCAGATTTCTTTTGACCCAATCCTCTAATTTGTCTAGGTCCCTCCCCCCCGCTCTCCTGTTGGTAATAGCTCATCTTAAGCGATCACTCTCCTTACAGTGTGTATAACACCCATTTTTTCATGTTCTGTGTATATATAAATCTCCTCACTGTATTTTCCACTGAATGCACCCTATGAAGTGAGCTGTAGCTCACGAAAGCTTATGCTCAAATAAATTGGTTAGTCTCTAAGGTGCCACTAGTACTTTTTCTTTTTGCGAATACAGACTAACACGGCTGCTACTCTGAAACCTACCCTCCAGTGTATCTACCACTCCTCCCAGTTTAGTATCATCCGCAAACTTGCTGAGGGTGCAATCCACGCCATCCTCCAGATCATTAATGAAGATATTGAACAAAACCAGCCCCGGGACCAATCCTTGGAGCACTCCGCTTGATACCGGCTGCCAACTAGACATGGAGCCATTGATCACTGCCCATTGAGCCCGACAATCTAGCCAGCTTTCTGTCCATCTTCTATACAGAACAGTTGCCTTCAGATATAGAAGAACTCAAGATAGATTGGAACTTTTTTATGCATTGTTCACCGTAAATAGTCTTTAAGCAGAGCACTGGGGAAAGACATATGTAAGCTGACAAAACAAGCTAAGAAATGAACACACAAGCTAGCTTTACCATGTGTAATCAACACATACACAAAGAAAACTCTACTAATGTTTATATAACATAGTCAGCATTATTAAGTCTTCATATGACAATTGCACAGTAAAGTAAATGGAAACATTTTTTCAGTGAATAAGGCAAATTCTCATTCCTTTTGCAAATTTTTCTTGGTCTCATGGAGATTTCCCCCTCTTCCACAGGGTGGTATTAATTTCTGGCCTAATTTTGCCACCTGAACTCCTGTTGAGTAGTATCTTGTTACCTAAGTAGTCCCACCTTAGCAGTATAAACAGTCTTAAACTTTTTTAAAGTAATGGGTGTAGTGATGTGATTGTGGTTGGAGACGGTCTTAAGTAGAGTAAATGCAGCAAAAGATGGAGGGAAAATGAATTGTAATTTCTAATGACCAGTTAAGCAGTACTTCTTTTTCCCTAAACACAGTCATAAAAATTGTAACAAACATATTATTTTTGCAACAGGTTTGTTCCTATTTGCCTGCTTTAGGAGAAGTAGGTATGCATGAGACTGGGAAAGTGCAGAAAGTGAAGAAAAAGAAAATAGGGCAGTGGCTTTGCCCTGAGTCTCAAAGGGCATTACTGATGCTAAATGGTGATAAGCAGAACCAAGCCAAACTGCTGCCTGATCTACCGTAAGTAATACCTATAACATCACCAGTTTTATTCTGCTTTGGGGGACAGCTTCTGACCTGACACATTTCTTGAACTTTATGTGACCTGTGTTGTTGTCTGCAAATTACTGTGACTGGCAGAAAGCTCCATTTTAAACTTGTAACACATCTGGGTAGGTTTTTTTCCCTCTCTCGGTTTATATGTATATTGATGCACGTTCATTTCCCTAGGGAAGCATTTTACATTAATAATGGAAATATGTAAGTATTCACAGAATTATTTTTTTTAAGTCTGATCCCCATATAATTACTGCTTTAAACAAGTATGTACTTTGCCAAATGTTTTTAAAATGCAATTAAGATTAAGTATCAGAGGGGTAGCCGTGTTAGTCTGTATCCACGAAAGCTTATGCCCAAATAAATCTGTTAGTCTTTAAGGTGCCACCGGACTCTTCGTTGTTTTTAATTAAGATTAAATTTCAGACTCTCTAACTTGGAAACACACATTATATGTATGGAGTATATACATGCTGTAATAACATTAAATATGTACATATGTTTAATAATTTTCCAAACAGATTAGTTTAATAAAAATATACTTGTCATTGCTTGATTTCCTTTTAGTGAACTGATCTTCAATAAATTCCCTCCATTATCAAAGAAGTTAAGGATGAAAGCAGAAGTTGAGGTGTCAAACACCAAAGAGAATCGCCACCCTTTGGATGAAGAGATGCACTTTTATAAGACTAATATTAAAGGTATTCTGTATATCTAATTTATGCTAAAAATTTCATATGGTTACAGTCAGTACTTCCAGGTTTGATATACTTGCCCTGATGAATGCTGAGCTAAAGTGATGTCCCAAGCCCAAGAAATACTTTCTTGTGTATCATATTAGTTGTTTTCAACATTTGAGAGAGAAATCATTTTATACATGGTGAAATAAAGCTGCTTACTCTATTCCCCTCCGCCCTCCCCCCCTCCCCCCCCCAAAAAAAAATTAGAGTGTATAGCTTGTGTGAGCTCATTCCAGTCTTGCCCGTCTTACTTTGCTAATCCACCTCAACCTGTACTTGGTAGGATCAACGTCTTCTGATTTGAAAGTATAATTCAGTCTTCATCTCTTTCAGTCCTAGACATTTTGTGAACAAAGACTGAGAAGTATGCTATGTTGCATAGCTGTGTTAAGCATATGGACGGTTTTCTTCCAGGCATTGAGCCCAGACTATGAAATGCATTTGGCTTTTAGTCTTAACTATACTGGAACCCAAGTACCTTAGAAGGAAATAGCCCTGCAGTAATTCACTCAGGCCTCACTTACTATACAAATTTAATAAAATGCACTTTACACAAGTCTATACCTGGCCAGAATCACTTGCTGGAACTGGGTGGGTTTTTTTTGTTTTGTTTTTTGTTTTTTAATCTGAGCCTTACCAATAGTGTTTCTAATACAAATATATCTATCATGTAGACACTCAAGGGAGAACTGAAGTAAAATTGGCAGAAAAAAAAAAAAGCCCTCATCATTTAAGATTTTATATTCAGTAGTGTATGTCTCAAACAATGAAGGACAAAAAATTCACCCCATTTTGGGGTTTAAAAAAAAAAAATTTCCTCAGTAACAGAGCCAGACCATGCATTTTAAAAATTGGTGCCCTTTCCCTTTACTGCTTCTGTAAGTAAAATTAATGTGAATGATTGCATGCGGTCTTTATAAAGGCAAAATGAACTAGAGGAATAGGGCAGAAAATGGTCAACCCTTCATCTTCTCCATCTCTCTACCAAAATCTCAAGTAGCATCTCAATAAAAATAAAAATTCTACTGAAAAGAACTAGTAGGGAACTGACAGTTGTACTTTAATGTGTGCATTAAATATTGTAAAAATACACTGTCGTGGCACTATTGTATAGATTGAGAAAATTACTCTGATATATATTTCATTTCTAACCTGTTTGCTGTTGCATCTTCAGTCAGCTTGCATCAAGATTTTGATCTGGCTTTTTGTTCAGATATAATCACTTATTGAAAACAAATTTATACATACAGTAGGCCTGAAGTTCTTACCATGTATTCATTAACTGTGTCTTTACTTATACATAGCAGTTCAGTCTCTTGCTATTCAGTTTGTCACCTTTGTTTCAGCTTTAAATGGTACCTTGCCTCTGTGGATGATTTTTTTTTCCCTTGTGGGTTTTTTTTTTTTTTTTTAAATGACTCACTCTCTCTTTCTGCGCTATGGTAGCCAAGTCAGACAGCCTATTGAGAAACAGCAAACCATCTGTTAAAGGATTTGAAATTCTGAATTATACTTGAATGTGTAGAGGCACTCGTGCTTAGCCAGAAACATTCATTTGAATTAAGCTATAAATGCTGTGTAAAAAGAATCATACATTTAACGTAGGTTCATGAATAAATTTAAGGGACAGCAACTGCACGCTAAACTTTTATTGCTTGAAAACCCAGTATTTTTGGTGTTCTGTGATCATTCAGTGCTTTTATAGTGTGATTGAAGCTTTAAACCTTGAATTGGGGGGTGATAATTCCACTGTTAAACCTTTTGCAGTACAATTTCATTGCTGGATCTGTGACGGAACAGAAGCTCTGTGGGTTTAAAAAAAATTTATTTTTTTTTAAAGGTGTTTAAACAGGACAAAGGAAAATCTTACTCATTATTGAATTTTCTGGCATGCAGCCAGATCTCCTAGTTGATTATTTCTTTAGTTGCTATCTTGCCTAGTGTAGTATAATCTATTATTTTTTTATGGTAGGAGAGACAGCCCTGCATATAGCTTGCATAAGAAACAAAGTGGAGAGACTGATTCAGCTTCTCCCTTTTCCTGGAACAGACATTAATGTTAAAGGTAAGCATGTTGATTTTCTGTACTGAACCAACATATTAAACCAACCAAATAATTTTAGTATTTTCATTTTGAAATACAAAGTTCACCTTTTAGAAATACTTAAAGAAAATCCTAATTGTTTTAATAATATGGAGTCATGACTTAAAGCACAGGTTTTATGAACAGCTAGCCTGTAACTAAAGTCCAACCATGTTTTATATTAAGTCATAGGTGAAGTCTTAAAAATTTTCTATGTGTTTTTGAATGAATTTCTTTTTATTATTTTAAAATGGGATTAATCTTCAAACATTAAAAGGTAAGTGTGGTGCTAGTTAGCAGAAAGAAAGTAGTGCTGTTTAATGAATCAGAATTATAATATTATGAACAGTTTACTATTACTTTTGCTCTTTTAAAACTTCCCTTGATTTATAATTCAGACTATGCTGGCTGGACGCCTTTGCATGAAGCCTGTAACCATGGTAGCACAGTGTGTGTCCGTGAAATTTTGCAGCGTTGTCCAGAGGTAGACCTGCTCAGTCAAGTGGACGGGGTGACTCCTTTGCATGATGCACTGTCAAACGGACATGTAGAAATTGGCAAACTGCTACTTCAGCATGGGGGTGAGTGCATTTATGCTAAACTGGTTTTAAGAAAGTGTCCAGTGTTAAATGAGTCCATATGAAGTTCATAGCATCCTTCTTTGCTGATGGTTAAAATGCAATACTATTTTAAAAGAAATGTTTAAAATAAACTTTAAAAGCTGGTTTGGTCACTATAGATAAAATCCTTATGATTTTTTCACTTATTCAGATTCTCATAAATATGTGAAATATAATATATCCTTGACTTGTAAATTCTTTTCAGGGTTTGAGTGGTTTGATTTTTTTTCTTTGTTTAAAATGTTTTATACTCCCATGATGAGTTAGAGAGTTATATTCTGAAAGATTTTAGAGAGTGAACATAAAGATTACCCAGTTACCAAGCAAATCTACAGAATTTTTTTATTGTTTTAATCTATATTGCAAGGATTTCTATAGAGATTTGCTAGTCTAGTTTTCTAGGTCGTGTTTATAAATTTAAATGAAAACTTGCTCAGTATTTATGAAAATGATTATCTTTAAAAAATACGGTTTGCTGACAAACTAGCTGAAGAAAGGGCATTTTGTAGTTGTCATAACTGCTGTTTGGGGAGAGGGGTACCAATAGGAGGGAGACCATAGTTTAACACGCATACATTGCTCCCAATACAATTTACAATGCATGCTTTTAATAATTTTTTTCTTTAGTGACAGGATTCTTAGATCATGTCTTGATAAATGCTATACCAGCTGAATTAACTTACTGTGTTCATGAACAAAGCTCATGTAAAAAATTGACTGTTTTAAAAAAGACAGTTGATGTCTCATCTGCTAAAACAAAGATTTATGTTGCTTGTACTGTTCACACCTACTTTGTGTCAATCTAATCTCTATGCATTATATCCCATGTCCAAATCTTTGTGATAGTGATCATTCTGCACATAACCACATAAGGCAAAAGAATGCACTGTATTTAGATGACTTATAACTTAATTCAGCTAGAGACAAAATTATGTTTGGTTTTTGGAATTATAAGACTTCTGTATTTACAGTCTTCTCCTGCCCCCTAAAGGCTACTTCTGTGTCTGTTGGGCAGACATCATCTCTTAATCAATACATTCTTCTGCTGTTCTACCTCAGTATGTTTGATGAGCTTCAATGCTGTGGCTCCCAGGTGTTTTATTTGTCTACTCACCCATGTATCTGACATGCCAAGCCAATACCTGGCCTCCCTTCAACTGGTCTAAGTGATACAAGAGCCAATATTATAGTAAGCCCAACTCTTCAATAGAAAATGGCATTGCACTGACAGATGTGCATTTTTCCTGAGCCTTTGTGAAGAATAGGCAGTGGATGATCCTCTTGTCCTCGGGGAGATCTACTTGCACTTGCATTCATCAAGGTCTTCTGGCAACTGTACAGACTGCATGCAGCCTTATCTTTGCCTTTGTCAGATTCTAGGTTTTGGCCTGTCAACCAGTTTGACACCATGGTTGTGGGAACTGCATTACACATTCATCTTAGATTCACTAAGGCTTGGTAGCTGTAATTTGGAGCATTTCTGCATTAACTTTCATTTTCTCTTTCTCTCTCTAGTATTCAGATTTTTACAAGGTATTCTCTTTTTCTTCAAAAAGGCTTCACTTTGCAAAAGTTATTGTGGCTACTTTACATAATCAGTGTTAGATTAAAACAGTATTATAGTTAAAGCAGCATTAAGTAATTTAAAATACTCTAGCTATTGTTGCTAGATTTAGTGTTATGTACATGGTACAATAACCTTCTATTAGAGTTTAAACTGCAATTTACCTTATCGAAAGATGGCTAATAGACACATTATGTTAAAGAAACGATGCCATTTTATAGCAACCCAAATTTGCAACTTAAATAAGCAGTCTTGAAAACACCATGTGTTGTGCATTAACATATTTCTGGTATGACCATTTAATTTACTTGTGATCAATACATTTGTAAAGTGTTACAAATTTGACAAACTATTTTAGTAATACATTTAGGGATTATTAAAAGGAAGAATCTGACACAGTCTGAAGAGCTAACATGTTGCCTGTTGAAAGTTAATTGAACACAGTTTAATACAATACCTAGTCTCTGTATTGCAGAGATTGCTAAAAACAGGTATTGTAACTTAGTATTTAGTAGCTGAGAGGGACCTGGATTCTCATCTTGCCAGCTGACTTGGTGCATGACCTGGGGAAAAGTTACTTGACCAGCTTGTGCTTTAGCCAGCCCAGCAATAACATAAGGTAAAATCTGGACTTTGCTAATTAATGCTGTATTTGGGCCCAGCTTCTGCAAGAGTATATCAAATAACTGATCACTAGAAATTCTTAATGAAACTGACCACACTGCACCTTAAATCAGCGGAGTGCGGGGAAGGGACGTTGTCTGGCTTGCTGGGGAAAGGGGTATATCAATTTAAGGATTGGGACGAGAGAGGCACAGACACTGCTGCAAAGGCAGGGTGGGGTCAGCATTGTGACACTGACTCATCCCTCAGGAACCAGGGGAGTTGATAAGGGCAAGTCTGGTGGGAGAAGCTCCTTGGTAAAAAACTTAAAGGAGGTGTTTGTTAAAGGAGCTGAACAGGGTGGGGTTCGGGGCACCAATGACTGGCATGGCAGGGAGCCAACCCCCAATTCCTTGGTAGCCCACCTTAACCCTCATTCCAGGTGGGGGGATGGTAATGTCCCAGCAATGGGTTGTCTGGGACCAGGATGGAAAAGGAGAAGTGGGGGCTGGCAGAAGCCCCCAGGTGGACATCGAATGAACATGGAGTTAGCTGCACTGTACACTTCTCTGCTGGGTAGTCCCAGACATCAAATAATAAAGTTGCGTCCTGATTAAACCATATACATATGTCTCCTTTCCTTCTTCCGGTGTAGCCGGACAATTAACATTTGCAACACTTCCAATATAATGCATGTTAGTTTGTATGTTTGCAGTATATTATCACTTAAATTTAAAATAATTAAGATGATTGTGATTTTTTTCCTTTTCCAAATAATAATTTGCTTTTCATATAATATATCAGGTGGTAAACCAAGGCTTATATAATTCTGTACAAAACTAGGCAGTTGACTTGAAATTGCTTACTAATGTGTCTTGACTAGGCAGTCAGTATGTAATTAGTTAATTTGTGCCAACATAATTTGGTACTAAAAGAGGTTATAAACAGAACCCCTAGGTGCTGCTCCCTTCCCCAAAAAATAGCAGCACTGCTCAGCTGCTATCTTAAAAATGCTGTTACTATTAATGCTTTATATTTTTCTTGCAGGACCACTGCTCCTACAGCAGAGGGACTTTTATGGGAAATTGCCACTGGATTATGTGGAGTCCCTAGCAGTAAAACAAGAACTTTTGGATATTGTCCACCCAGAAGAGACTGTCAAGGACTTCTATGAACGTGTGGAAAAAGATTTCCACAGCCAGCAAAGAGAACTTTGGTTAATTTTATTTAATAAGTTGTTGCTAAATTTTTGTTCAGTTTATAACTTATCTTCACCCTCTCCTTTACCTTTTAAAGAAGTAGCCCACTTAAATTCACTTCCATTAGTAGCTATTAATGGCTGTAAATTGAAAAGTGGGTCTCTTACTGATTGGTTAGTAGATCTTTATGTTGGAGAGCTACAGACTTTCCAGAAACTTCCAGAGTTTATTCAGGAAATATCTGAGAACCTAAAAAAATCTTTTGGAGAACAGGTACATCCCTTACTGGCAACACTAGAAACTATGGCAATGGCAACTCAGCCATCTACTTTTCATCTTTCTAACCATTAAGATCAGTTCCATTGGTTCAGTTGTGATAGTTTATCATGGACACTGGCGAGATTCATTCTTGTGGATACAGGAGTACACATGGCACATCCTACGCCAGGCTGGCCTAGTGCTACCTAAGAAATATTCCTTTTGATCCCTTCTGGCATTTTAAAGCGCTGAGCCAAGGCTTCCATAGTCCCACTGAAGGAAGCTGCAGTGTGGAAATACTGAATAAATGCACCTCCTGGCCACTACCCCTCTGTGGCCAATGCCATCAACTTTTCAGGCTGAACTGAATGCCTGTGGCTCTCTCAGCAGAGCAGAGTTCACTTGCACCATATCAACCCCTCTTTTTTTCCCCTTCTAGCACATTTTCTGTTATGAGGAACTTTGTGCCAGAATTCTTGCTGGTTTCAAGGACGTTGACCCTAAAATTTGTCTGATTTAGACACTACAGTTAGTTACTTTTTTCCAGGGTGTACAGTTATGCCTGCAGTTCTCATGTGACTAACTTTTTGAATAGTTGTCAAATAAATTAAAAAAAAAAATGGAAAAACTACTACTACAATTATCCATTTTTCTTATATCATCATCCTGGAAAATGCATATCTTTAAAATACATTTAAAAATTTAGCTCAAAAGTTAGTTTTTAAAATTTTGTGTATTTACAGTACCAGTTTACGGTACTTCCCATATTGTCCTTACTGATTTTGTATCAAAGGATATTGACAACGTTTTTCATGCAAATGAGCCATTAAACTTTCTACTAGCTTTCTGTAGTATTGTGGTGCTCACTCATTCATACCTGTATAATGATCAGCTTGACTCAGATCCTCAGCTACATTAGAACTGTGGTTGGCAGAGCTGAATCAGGAAGGGTTAAAAGGAACCAAGCTTCCTTTATGCTTTCCAGATTCCTAAGGCTGCTGTGGCCCAGTTTGGCCTCCAACATAAGTTACACAACCTTGGGGCTTCTCCAAACTATGCTGGCTTGTAATAGCCCTATGTAAGTCTGTATCACTGGCAGGGATTGCCAAAGCATGAAATGCTGTGATGACATCCTCAAGCCTGTGGTGGTACTTGTACAGAACTGACATTTTAGTAGCTGGGGGTCTCACCCTGTCAAGATATGGCAGTTTTAAGATAACTCCATGCTGCTTATTTGAAGTTGGGGTGCCAGCCTCCTTAAAAATTGCAGCCCCATTAATATTAGGATTTTGTCCGCAGTACTAAGAATATATGAATACTAGACAAGATAAATCCTCTAAACTGATAAACTAATCCTCTATCCTAATTTAGGATTGTGTGCTTATAAAGTATTATATTGGTTGTGTTTAGTAATTAATTATACAGAAGGGGCAAATCCTGCCCCCTCCTCCAAATGTACAAAGACTGGTGATTCTGATTCATAAGAGGAAGGGCTGAAGGAGGACAGAATTTGGGGAATCCATACTGTGCTGCCCTGCACAAAGGAATTGAGAATGGGATGGCAATGGGGGATCTGCCAAGATATGGATACTCTTCACGCCCAACTCGATTTAGGCTGGGGTCTGGGGAAAGAATTTGCCCCATAAAGGAAAATGCAAAGAAATGCTGCTTTATAATAAGGATACCTACTGAAATAGTAGGACAAATTATAATTCATTAAAAGATTAAGAATAATCTAAAATCTTAACTGTCAGAAGGAATGGGCTGATTAGTAATGTTTCAATTTGCAGTTCTTTTCTAATAGCAATGTATAGTGTTAAAGAAACTAAAAGAAAAGGGGATAATAGCCATTTCTGGAATTGGTGTTGCTTGACTAGAGGGAATAAGTTACATTGATACAGCTGGCTGAGGCACATTAAAACTTCCATTTAGCTTTCATGCAATGGAGACGTGAACTCAGCAATAAATCCACTGATGATGCTCAGGCTGGTTTGGTCTTGGAACCAGATATTTATTACAAATGTTCAGTGGTTATTAATGACTGATTATTTTTATTAGGCATGTATATTGAGCAAACTGTTCTAGTGAGGATAAGGAGTCCTCTTGGGTTAGATTTGTTTGTTTTGAGCATTTTGACTTTTCTACACTCTGATACTTTACAATAAAATAAAACTTTGTTGTAGATGAAATGTGATAGCAATTGTAATTTCAGTGTATGCTGTAGTAAACAGGCATAGTGAAAGTGTTCTTATGTACAGATGTTGCAAAGAATGCAAAATATGCCCTTAATTGGTCACATTAGATTTTTTTTTTTTTAAATCATGAATTTGAGACTCAGTTACATCATCACGCCATAGCAAGCCACAGCAAAAGGATAGTGGTAATACTCGTAAGGTGTTGGTTCAGACTTCAGAATAAAAAAAATCTTAGATACAGAGATGAAAGCCTTCATGGCTTTTCCTTGACCTGATGGAGATAATTTCTTACTTGCGTCCTTAAACTTACATTTAGTCCAATATATTTCCTACCACAGCTACTTGCTATTTTGTCATTTAGTCAGGGCAACAAAGAATAGTACAACTACCAATTCTAAGACCTGTTTATATATAAAATTTATTTGTGTGTCTGTATAGCATATCTGTAGAACTACCATGATTGGTGCTCTCCTGCAAAGCTAAACATGGATAGGAGAGTCTGGGCTGTGCCTGTAAGACAGTGGGTCTTATGGTGGCTTTAAGCCATCTTTGCACCACCTGGACCTTGAGCTGCTCCGCTGCACCCTGCATAATTTAGACAGCCCTGGTGGCCCTGTCAGAATTATGGCAGCCTGTCCTTAGCTGCCTAAGGGCACAGCACAGCCCTGCCTGAAATCTCTGTAATGCTACAAAGTGCAGCCCCTCCTGCAGCATGCCAAGACTGGTCCTCTGAAAGCAACCTTATGACACTTTTCTCCAGTTCTTGCACCACAGGAATCTTCTCCCAGCCAGAGTTTGGAGATAAGAATGATTCCATACCCCAGTGGCTGGGCACTAACCTGAACATAAGAACGGCCATACTCGGTGAGACCAATGGTCCACATAGCCCAGTATCCTGTCTTCTGACAGTGGGCAGTGCCAGATGCTTCAAAGAGAATGAAAAGAATACGGAAATTATCAAGTGATCCATCCTCTGTTGTCCACTCCCAGCGTCTGGCAGTCAGATGTTTAGGCACACCCAGAGCATGAGATTGCATCCCTGATCATCTTGGCTAATAGCCGTTGATGGACATATCCTCCATGACTTCATCTAAATCTTTTCTGAACCCGGTTATACTTTTGGCCTTCAACATCCTGTGGCAACAAGCTCCACAAGTTGACTGTACGTTGTGTGAAAAAGTATTTCCTCATGTTTGTTTTAAACCTGCTGCCTATTAATTTTATTGGGTGACTCTGGTTCTTGTGTTATGTAAAGAGGCAAATTACACTTCTCTGTTTACTTTCTCCGCACCATTCATAATTTTATAGACCCTTAGACATCTTCCCCCCCCCCCCCCCAAAATGAACAGTCCCAGTCTTTTTAATCTCTCCATTTGGAAGCTGTTCCATGCCCCAACCACTTTTGTTGCCCTTCTCTGTACCCCTTCCAATTCTAATATGTTGTTTTTGGGATGGGGTGACCAAAACTGCACACTCAAGGTGTGGGCGTACCATGGATTTCTATAGTGGCATTATGATATTTTCTATTTTATTATTGGTTCCTAGCATTCTTTTAGCTTTTTTTGTCGCTGCATGTTGAGCAGATGTTTTCAGAGAACTGTTTACAATGTCTGCAAGATCTTTCTTGAGTGGCAAGATCTAATTCAGACTCCATTATTTTGTATGGATAGTTGGGATTATGTTTTCCAATGTGCATTACTTTGCATTTATCAACATTGAATTTCATCTGTTATTTTGTTGCCTAGTTTTTGTGAGAGCCCTTTGTAACTCTGGCTTAAAGTCCTTGGTCCAATGATTATTCAATTAGTTATACAAAGTGAAACAGCCTCATCAGGAGAAACTGCAAGAATCCAATCCACCAGCTATTGCTATCCAGTAGCCTAGCTAGCAGTCAGGGCACTCATCAGAGAGTGCCCCAGAGTGAGAACCTGGATCTCTCACATCCCACTACTACTATATTTCTAGTAAATTAATAGGAAAATCTACATTTTTGTCTGAAAGCAAAACTTTTACGTGAATTAATAATTGCAGTAAAATGAGACCTAAGTTGATGAAAAGTAAATTTGTTTGATTTTTTCATCTCCAGTACTGAGGAGATTCTTCATTTCCTCCTGAAGTTTTGAAGAAGCTGTTTCCTTGCAGACCCTTCTTTCTCCACTGGAAAAGTACCCCTTGTCATGATACCTTGGTAGGCTGCCCTGTTGTCCCGTTTCTAGGTCTCCCTGAGTACACCCCACATAGGTATCAGAAATCATCTCTTTACCTTTTCTGGGATGGAATTCCACAATTCACCCACTCTCAGACCAGGTTCTGGGTTACAGCCCCCTGGATATCAAGTGTGACAAATTCAGCAGATTTAACTGGGGTTGGACCCTGCAAAGGTTCTCTCTTTCAGAGTCTGTGACAGCATGCATTTGCAGTGAGATAGAAACAGCTTCTTCAAAACAAAGCCTGATTTATTTTGCCCAAGAGGTACTCGGCACTTAGAGAAGTGGATTTAAAATAACAGTGACCTTATCTAAGTGTAACCTCTCTATCCATAGCTCAGGCCAGTCTGTCTTATTCTCCCTTGTAAATTGGGAGAAACCGCCTACTTTCTTGTAATCTTCTCCCTCTGTCATCCTCAGGGTACCAGTCAGTGAGTTTAATATTTAATACCAGTTAATTGTTTGTTTTTGTAAAGTGCTGTGCAAACCCATCATGCTGTTTAAAGAATATATTTTGTTGGAAATTTACAATTCCTTGTCTTCAATATTGAAAATTGCTGTGTCAAAAATTGAATTTGAACTGTAGGCCTTTGCTGACCTAAATGCTTGCTTTTAAGGTTTCTCTTGAACTTGATGTTGTTGAATGTACTGGAACATAATGGCATATAATATTTAACATAATATTTAATTTGGGATGATATAGTGTTGTAATATTTCTGCTTAATATCACGGTGTTTTGAAAACAGGCTCAATAAATAGGCTAACTTGAACACAAAGTCTAAATCTAAATAGCTTTGATTCAAACCATCTGAGGACACTTAAATGTAGGTCTGTCCTACAAAGGAAGCATGTCATTTATTTATCTTTCTGATGTACTAATGGGGGGAAATAAAACAAATACTTATGAGAATTACTAGCTTGATGTCTGCATTTGCAGCTAAGTCTTAAATACAAATATCCGTGTCAGAAATTAAGGAAATCCCATTTAGTAAATTGTGAGAAAATGTTCATAAACTGGAATGAGGGCTGGTCTCACCACCAGATGTGAAACACTTACACACCTTGAAACCACTTGTACAAGTCCCAGTTATTCAGATAAAGTCGATAAATACAATCTTGATGTGTGGGTGGGTGTGTCTTTAAAATGAGGCCTTAAAAAAATTTCCCGCCTGCTTTGCATGGATGTTAAAGATCATGTGGTGCTTTTAGGTTTGCCTTCATGTCACTGGCAAAAACATTTCCCTTTCCCCTACTGTTTCCCCCAGTGTGCTGTGGTCAGTTGGCTGCCTCCTTACTCACTCATCTTGATTTCAGTGATGCTGTATATATTTAATGTGTAAAGAGTGTTTGGCTCCTTTTCAATGAAAGAAAAGTATAAATTGTTTTATTACTATGATTATATGGTATCTACATATTAAGTCTTTAGTATTGGTTTAATTTTAGACTTGACTACATTTATCATCTTAACTCATTAAAACACAAGTGCTTATATTTCCCCGGGTAAACCAATGTGGTTCAGGGTGAGTTATCGTAAATGGTGTTATCACTAGGTATCACTATTAGCATATGTGTGCAGTCCTGAAAACTTAAAATGGCACCTCTTCTTAAGCAAAATTCCCTTTATTTTTAGAGGAATTCCCGTATTATTCAAGGGAATTCACACAGTAGGGGAGGAAATCCCTTGTGGAACATGTGAAAACTTTAAGGCTTCAAGACTGTAGTAATGTTACACTGAAATATTTGAGTATCTGTAAGCAACTATGATTTAAATGACTGATTAAATTACTCCAAAAATACTTATAGAAACTAGTATTGAGATCCTTTTGTGCATCCCTATCTGTTTAAACTTGATACTAGTTAAGAAGGGAAAAAATCGAATATACTTCTTTCCTTCATCAATAATGCTAGTAGGAATTACTGTTGTAGACTACTACAGTGGAAGAGATTACTGGTTGGGAAGGAAAAGGGAAAAGATGTCAGTATTTAATGCTTTTCTGTTTCTATACTACATTAAGACAAGCATATCTGAATCTGGGATCCTGCATTTAAATTTCGCCCATTCAAACACTCCACCAATCTTTCAGATGGGTTGTTGCTGTATTGGCCTCTGAAAATTGTGATTCATCTTGATTGCAAAAGAATTAAAAACAAAAGAAGGATTGAGTAGTCAGTCTATAAAGATGGTTAATTCAGGAATGCTGACGCACACAAAGAATTTTCTGTCATCACAGTCCCTTGTATATAGCTAAAGGTTAGAGTAATGAACAGTAATTCTTCTCACTCATAACTGAACTTCTTTTATGCATTTCTTAATTTTCATAGACATTCAAATTGGTAATTCTTGAGGAGGGTCTCACATTTTTCTCTTACCTGGTACATTTAATTCAACCAACATTGCTGTTGTTTTTACAAATAGGGTATGTTTTAGTCAGACTACTAATCTGCAATAAAACAACTATTATTCAGTTATCCTGTCTTTTTTTCAGAGAAGCAACATCTATTTTATTGAAAAGACATTGAAGATAGAGAAGGTATAATGTAATTATTTGTTTGTGAAGCTCTTTTTAGAATATAAAAGCTATTATATAATCAGATTGCAGTAAAACATTATTTCACGTTTTAATTGTTTATTTTTCTAATCGTGTCTGTGCACTAGTTGTCCATTTATTCTTAATTTGGTATTTTCTACTTCACACTTAAGGATTTTTTAATGAGGTCTTATCGTGTTACATAGATGGGTATTTTGGAGACATTAAGGTATGTGCTGAAATTTTCCTCTGAGAATGTTTCTGATCTGTCAGTTTGAGGTGGTCTACCAATCATTAATTTAAGCCTTCTCAAAGCAGACCTTTTCTGTGTGAGGGACATGCTATCTATAATGGCTCTTAAACTGCTAAAGATTGAACTTTTTCATATGGATACCATGTGGCTTGATGATAACATATCTTCTCTATCAAGCCCTTATGATTTTAGGAGTGTTCATGGAACATGAAGAATTACTTGTTCCCTGATGGGTCTTTTCAAACTCAACACAAAAAAGCAGGGAGGGAACTGATAAGATTAAATGATGGGGACACTTATCAAAGGCTCTACCATAGATGTATTTATAGGGAGTTCACTACTGTTATTAGATTATGGTTCTTTTTTCTTGTCAAATCCAGAAAAATGCTTTCAAATGCATATTGTATGACAGCAGCATCAGGTTTAAGAGACAATGCTTTGAAATGGTATTATCTAGTTTGCCTACAGTGAGTCCTTGCTACCAGTTCAATTGCCGGCTTACTGTTCTGTCAAAGGGTGCGATCTCATACCTGCACAGTGGAAAGAAGGAAAGCAACTTCTGCAGAAGAAACTTTAAACAGGTGAACTGTCTAATTTTCAAACTTTTCATTTTATATCTGCTTACAATATTTTTTTGTAAACAGTCAAAGTAGTCTGAGTTAAAACCACCCAACTGACAGCAAAAGCTAGGGACAGACTGATCAACTGGAAACACAAGTAGATTGTATAACTAGCTGGTTGGTAAACTACCCACACTATAACTACAGTATAAGTAAGTGGTATACACCTTCAGTTTCTCAGCAAACTTTGTTTCCTTTCAGAGTAACAGCCGTGTTAGTCTGTATTCGCAAAAAGAAAAGGAGTACTTGTGGCACCTTAGAGACTAACCAATTTATTTGAGCATGAGCTTTCATGAGCTACAGCTCACTTCATCCCTGCTATGCCTTCCCATTTCCTCTGGCATAGCAGGGATGAATCTGGTCCATTCTCTTATGGCTTATACACATTTGTTTTTGTTCTTTAATTATGGGGTTACTTTGTCCTAAATGATAAGTGTTTTATCTAGTTTAGCATTCCACACTAACCATTTAATTGCTTGTCTTTGGTAGCAGGGTCTGTAAATCATGGTATAGCTGAAGTTAAAAGGTGAGGGGTTTGGTTTGAAAGGTTGGCAAATTTACCAGTCAAGACCAGTTATGAGAAGTTCCTGAGTGACTTTGGTGCATAAGTCTCATTGAAAGTCCATGGAACTTTGGTGCTTTTAAAATTTTTTCCTCATCGTCTCTTTACTTTTGGTAAATGATATGTCCCAAATAGATTTCATTAGGATGTACGTAAATGAGAATGTCTGTGGATTTGAGATTGTGAAATCAATGTTTTAAAAACATCAAATAACATTTGATTTCTAGAATTCATTTGTAGATGCAGTTTAACACTGAGATGAGATAAGTATAAACTAGTAGCTTTTGCATTTACTACTTCTGCACATACTGAGTTCAGACACTAGATCAATAGCTTTTTTGGCGTTACAAGGATTTAAAATGTAGGGTAAAAGGTTGCTGTTAAATGATAGTGCTGGATGTTCTCTCTGTAGGGGTCTGCGGACATGAACTAAAATACAATATCAGTATAGCAACAGCACAGACCTTGTCAAACAGCTGCAGTAATGTATGTCATATTTCATCAACTGTATGTTAAAGGCAAAGAAGAATTTAACTTTCAGGGCTGAGAGTCAGACAAAACCCAGGAAACTCAAAGGTAAGGCTGACAGTTCATCCTTATCTGTTGTCATTTTCCTTTTTAAATTGGTCACATTTAATTTAGTGCTAATGAAAAGTGAGAGTTTAATGCACCAGGTTGAGCCAGGAGCAGCATGGGCAGATACTATGCAAGCCTCCACACACAGGTATGACAGTGCACATAAAGCCTCATTTGCATTAACCCTTCTCTTCTAATCTTGGTTACTTTTACTTGTGCCAGATTATGAGGTGGGTCTGTGATTTAAGGACTAGCAGACACCAAAATTCTTGAATATCTTTATCCTCAATGAGATTTGAAACCCAGTTCTCTAGCGGGGCTGCTGGTATGAACACTTAAGCTGCACCACTGAGACTCTTTTTTCCTCTCTTTGATTTACCTCTGGTTGAATTAAAATCTAAATAACGTTCCTAAATTTGAATATCCTCACATTTGACTGTGCATCAATTAAAAAATTTTAAACATTTAAAATTCTATTTTATTTGTAAATGTCATTGTTTTAAAGAGAGTAGGGTCAAAACACAACCTCTGTGTTGCCCTCTAGAAGAAGTTGCCCTCTATGTTGCCAAACTGCAAAAATCAAATCACTGTATATAATTATAAAAACAACTGGACTTAGCAAAAGAACAGGAAAATTGCAGTGTGAAAATTAGTTTTCGGCTTTGCATAATTCATTAGAATAACCTCTTCTATCCATCCCCAAATGTCCTTGCTTTGACATGAGTGCTTACTGGAAACACAACACTCTTTACAAACCACTGCTTTTCCGTCTTTGTTGTTGTGGCCTTGTCCTTAAACATTTCCAAAATAAAATGCAAAGATAGGATTTGATTCTAGTCATTCAGAAGCACAATTTCCTCCCCTTTCACTGGAGTGCAGCCAGATTCTGTAAATTAGTGTACTTTAGCCCCAAATTACCTAGCCCATAGTTTAATGCTTACACACTACAGTAACACCTACACAACCTCCTGCCAAAGATAGTTGCTTCCCTTTACTCCCGAATGCTACTGGTAGATTTTGTGTTCTAGTATTTTTCATTTCTGTTATTACCTTTCATGTGGTAGGATCCCAAAATGCTTCAGAGTCTGTGTTCACCGCTTAAATACAACTACCTTAAGCAGTGAAAGTGAGCAACTAAGTACCTAACCAGCACGGAAGGAAAAATGTCTGCCAAGGACTGGGGGGATGTTATGTAAAAGACCATAGCACCCAGTATCCCTAACCACCAGCAGAGCCC